GAAGAAGAAGAAGAAGAAGAAGAAGAAGAAGAAGAAGAAGAAGAAGAGATGATGAAGAAGAAGAAGAGATGAAAAGGGAGAGAGAGAGAGAGAGAGAGAGAGAGAGAGAGAGAGAGAGAGAGAGAATTGAATAAATTTCTAAATGCCTGGCCTGGGGAAGGGGCATCAGATCTCTAGTGAGCACACACTAACTGGAAATAGTTCTATTCCTTAACTCCGAGCAAAGCCTGAGACAGCCACTGCTCGTCAAGGCCGCAGCATTCCTTACTGCCCACTGCAGCTGAGTCCCTTTCTGCTCACCACGCCTTCCCTTGGAATTCCTGGCCCCTGTGACCCTTAGACTTGGCCATGTGACTTGTGGCCAGTTCTATGGTTTTTTTCTTCCTGTGGCAACTGAAGAACAATTGTTCTAGACTGTGTAGCCCCAGAATCTCAAAGCCTTTATCAGTTTCAGTCTTAGTGAGGACATCTACTCTTCTCCTGATCACTGCTGGACACGTTAATTAGGCGAGAAGTAAAGTTTTGTTGTGCTTGACTAAGAATTCGGGGCTAATGTTACGCAGCATACTGTAGACTACTTTAAAACATACACTTGCAATTGCTCACCTCAGCCTGCATCTCTGCTTTGCAGATCGGACGATACAGTATCTATTCAACGTATAGAAGTAGTCGTGGTAGGGAACGTCATGTGTCAGGACTTCTGAATCTACTAAATAAAATTGTGCTTCCCGGCTTTCCTTATACAGTGTCTGCCAAAATAAGATGCAAATGCATATTTTCAATATTTTTATGTTCTCAGCTATTTATAACATATATACTGAAGTTCCTTCTCACAAATACGAAAGACATCAAAAATCTTAATGACAAGCTAGGACAGAATGAGAAATAAATTGCAGAGTCTTTCTGTGGTTTTTGGTTATAATGAATTTTAAGTTAAAAATTAAATTGACAATTCAAAATTAATTGAATAATACAAGGGTCACAACTCCCACATTCACTGAAGTTTAACAGAACCAAATGTTAACAGAGGGGGAAAAAGCAAATAAATGGAGCAACTAGACCAAACATCACTTTCCCTGTACAGGACATGGGGAACTGTCGGGCGAACCTCTCTCATTTTAACCATTCTTCCACCTGTCCTTGAAGGAGGAAGGATTGACTGCTAAACTTACGAAAGATTCTCCTATGCCAAAAGACTGATCTCTTCCTATATCTGTGACAATCCTTTAAAATGGTATGAAGAATAGGAAGTCACATTCTCTTTGCCCTGAGAAGACTACCAGCTTGTACTTAGTTTTTAAAACTCCTATGCTTTCCCATGTGTCAGTGCAGCTACCTAGCTCTTTGGCTTCCTCCCTGACATGATCCTATAAATTAGATTTTAGAAGTGTTTGTTTTAAAATCTTCTATTATGGTCAAGTGGTAGTGGCCCACGCCTTCTATCCCAGCCCGCGGGAGGCAGAAGCAGGTGGGTCTCTGTGAGTTCATGGCAAGCCTGGCCTACCTAGCACGTTCTAGGCAGGTGGTCTATTGAGCAGGGGTGGGGGGTGAGCTTTCTCGGCTCTGAAGCCCTTTCCAACCTGTGACAGTTCATCACCGCGTGCCAGGTGACGAGTGAAAGTGTCTCAGAAACTGTTGCCTGTGACAGGCAACATCTCTCCTGCTGCAGGTATGACCCCTCCAGAACCCTAAGAGAGTCGCTTACCTGCTTCTCCGTGGCAGCAGTGCATTTCCCCGTAAGTGGATTACTGAGGACTATAGTGTAGGTCATGGTTCTCAGCTGATCGCCTCCAGACTCAACTGTCCAGGGCGTAGATACCACATCTAATCAGAGCAAACAGAGAGACTTTAAGTTGAACCCAGGGTGCAGTTGGAGAATTATATAAATGTTGGCAAGCAGTATCGTCCAAGTTTAACAACCACATTAGAAAAGGAAGAGTCGACCATTCAGGATATGCTATAAATATAACAGGTTTGGGTGCTGTGGGACAATGGTCTTGTACTTTGTAAAAATTTGTCAGTTGTGTTATTTTAATAAAATGCTGATTGGCCAGTAGCCAGGCAGGAAGTATAGGCGGGGCGACCAGGCAGGAAGTATAGATGGGCCAACCAGGCCAGGAGAATTCTGGGAAGAGGAAAGGTTCAGTCTAAAGTTGTTATCCAGACACATAGGAAGCAAGATGAAAAGGCTTCGCTGATAAAAGATACCAAGCCACATGGCTAACACAGACAAGAATTATGGGCTATTTTAAGATGTAAGAATTAGTTAATAAAAAGCATGAGCTAATAAGCCAACCAGTTTTAATTAATGTAGACCTCTGTATGTTTCTTTGGGACTGAATGGCTTGGGACCAGGCAGGACAGAAACTTCTGTCAACATTTAGGCATTCATTCAAAAACATATGTACACTAAAGCAAAGAAAACTAGCCTACAATTCACAATCCCAGAGAACCTAGACAACAACGAGGATACTAAGAAATATATGGATCTAATCTACATGGGAAATAGAAAAAAGACAAGATCTCCTGAGTAAATTGGGAGCATAGGAACCATGGGAGAGGGTTGAAAGGAAGGGGAAAGGAAGGGAAAAGAGCAGAAAAAATGTATAGCTAAATAAAATCAATAATAAAAAAGAAGGCATTTCTTCTTTTAAAAATGTACACTTAATTTTAAAGAACTTTTTCAGATTATCTGGTCATATATCAGCCTACTTCAAGAAAACACAAATAATCTACTGCTAATCAGAAATAGGTTCAGAAGTGATCATTGAATCCTGTTATTAAAAGTCATACTATTGATAAAGCAACCATCAAGATCTATTTTCCCATGCATGTTACACTTGGATCTTTAGCACACAACCAACAACGCCTACCAAATCATTATTTGCCAGAATATCCTCTGATTAGCATCATATTGGAAGAGACAGTCCTCAATACTGAACTAAAGTTCTTTATCAGATAAAACATCAAGAATGAAATTTTGGGCTGGAGAGATGGCTCAGAGGTTAAGAGCACTGACTGTTCTTCCAGAGGTCCTGAGCTCAATTCCCAACAACCACACGGTGGCTCACAACCACCTGTGATGAGATTCATTGCCCCTTTCTGGTGTGCAGTCAAACATGCAGACAGAATACTGTATACATAATAAATAAATGAATAAATAAATCTTGAAAAAAAGGAATGATATTATAAGAAAAGAGCAACAGAGAAAAGAATACATTGTCATTTTATGGAGCTAATGTAAAAAATGAAAAAGACAGAAATTGCTGAATACTTTAAGAATCATTTGTTTTTGATAAACACAAACAATTTAAATTGGTGAAACTTCACACCCATCAGGGTGGCTATGATGTAATACTAGAAGTAAGGAGTGTTGATGACTCTGTGGCAGCAGTCTCTATGCACTGCTAGTCGGACTATAAAATGGTACAGTTATAGAATACAGAATGGCTGAGTTTCCAAAAAAAGATAAAGTTATCCTTGGATGTAACAGTCTGCCTCTAGACAACTAATATACAGCGAGCAGAATTCAAAGTGAGGACTTCAGTAGGTATCTGCATATTAATGGTCAGAGCAGTGTTTCTTTCAGAGTAGCTAAAAGTTATAAGCACAAAGTGTCACTAATGGATGGATGAACACACAGAATACGGTATTATATATGCATACATAGAATATAATTCTGCCTTTAAAAGAGGTAGAATTCTGCTACATGTCCCCTCATGGATGGATGGATTTGAAGACATAATGTTATGTGTAAAACTTCTCAGTAAAAGGCAAATGTTAGAGACTTTCATTTATATGAAGTAGCCTGGGTAGTTAGTTAAATTCACAAATATAAAAGATGGAACAGGGGTTCCTCGAGAACTGGAGAGAGACAAACGGAGAGTTGTTGTTATGGGTTCAGAGTTAACATTTGGGCTGATGAGAAAAGTCTGGAGCTGAGTGGTGATGGTCACACAGTGAATTAGGGAATGCCTCTGAACTGCGTGCTGAGAAACAGCAAGCTTCGTATCGTGTGTGTTTCCCCACAGCTTTAAAATCTGAGCCCAGGGAAGGGAAATATGGATGGTATTATACTAGTCATGCAGCGTCTCTGAAGGTTTACATTATCTAAATGAAAAATATTTTAAATTGACTTTTTAATTAGAATGATGCTATGCAACTGTAAATAGAAATTAAAGAGACTGCCAATTTAAAAGTTTCTTATTAAAATAAATTAGATCTATGAGGCTAGTGAGATGGCTCAGAAGATATTTTTTCGCCATGATAAAATAGCATGACCCAATGCCCCCAGTAACATACTTCTGCAGCACCGCCTAAAAACGACAGCCTCTGCAAACAGCGCCACCAACTGGAGACCAGGTATTCAAATGCCAGTGGGGGACATTTCTCATTCAAACCATTACAACAGGTAAAGGTACTTGGCATCAACCCTGCTAACCCAAGTTTGATTTTCTGAACCCCCGTGGTGGAAAGAGAAAACTGTCTCCTACAAGTTGCCCTCTGACCTACACACACACACACACACACACACACACACACACATGCACATTGTGAAAAGCTAGAAGAAAAAGAAAGACAACTTTAATTACCAGGTAGCAGGTTCTAAGAATAACTATGGATTTTAGTGACGAGCAAATTATCCATAGAAAAGCCTCTTGACTCATTCCAGGACTACCTTGTAGTGTGCCTAGAACTACCAGACTCTGAGGAAGCTGGAAGCCTTTGATTCCAAAGATATTCATGACACCAGAGAGTGGACATAGTCATCCATGATGAAGCCAGATAACACTAGACAACAAACGCAGTTGGGCTTCAAGAAGCACACTCTGCTCCATACCAACTTTACTGACCAGTGGTGCTCCCTGATCAAAAAGAGGGCAGCATCCCAGCAACAGTCATTGCTTAGCAACTACAGGATGAGCCATTCCTGACTCTTCACAAGTATCAAGTTCTCTAGACAGAAATGAATAGTAAAGTACAAAATGGATTCAAAAGAAATACAGTTAAGTTAAATATGAGCCAGTGGGCAGTTAAGTTAAATATGACTTACACCTCCTAGACATTCCATGTTTTTAATGGAAAATAGAAAATATATTCTCAAAGTCATGAAACGCAGGATATAATCTCTAAATTCCATATCAACAGAATCCCTGTGCTACTCTACTGTGAATAAGAGCATTCATTTTTGGTCCTGGATTCTCTATCATTGATCTTACCTATGAATATGTACTTGTGCTTTCGTGAAAGATTCAAATAACCTAATGGTTAACAAAAATCCTTAGGTTATAGAATTGATTCGCTGACCATGTCAAATGGCTTACCTTGTACAAATGTCTACTGCTATGGTGTTCTAATTTTATATAGTTGACTCGTAGCATTAAAAAAAATTTGGAATAATTGATATAAATTCTTTTTTAAACTTACTATAAACTTATTTGACCTATTTAATGAAGTAGAACTTTTATCACATGAGCAGTAAAATTCTCCTAAAAATTTTTATAGCTCTATAAAAGTATATGTTTTCATTATATCATAGGTACTGTGATCAAAGGGGCAGAGCTCCATCATTTTTACAAAGGAAACACACGGAGACACTATTACTCCAACTAATATATAAAACTTCTTATCTGCATCCGAAAGCAGCCTCCCAGGATTTACCGATCTACCCCTCGTCACAGTAACCATGAGCACACTGACTTCCATGTCTCTGTTAAGAAATTACACATCATGTACGCTTTGCATCTAGTTTCTTTTGCTTAATACTGTGTCTGTGAGTCGCACTCACAGGTGTAAGTGGGAATTCTGTGGGAACCCAAAAATGTTAGCCTATTCCACCTTGTCTGAAGGTCAAAAATGTGAGCCTATTCCACCTTGTCTGAAGGTCAAAAAGTCTGAGCTTATTATAGCTCTTTCAAAGTTGCTGACAACAAGTGTGGCTACAAAACAAGATATACTGACCTAGGGTGTGTATATCTTGATATACTGTATATCTAAGATATACTGACCTTGGTGTTCTGGACTGAAGATGGCCCATAGAGGTAGATCTGCCCCACCCTGACCAAAGGTCAAAGAATTCAAGCGTGCTTCTGCTCTTTCTTTTGAAATGGAGGTTTGACTTAGGGAATGGCTGCCTGCAGGATACTTGATCTAGGGTGTGTTCACTACCCTAAACATCTAATGTTTTGCTCAGGAATTAATGGTCTGATGTCTCAAGTATGGAAGCAAGTAACTACTTTGGTTGTCCTTTGTATCGTGTTAAAGCAGTCTTTTACCTTCTCCCCACCCCCTTCTGTGTTGGGGTATAAAAGTGTATGGTAAATAAATGCAGGCAAGTTTCAGCATTCAGGATCCACTGAGTTGGCCTCCCGGTACTATCTTGTGTCTCTGTATTTCTTTCTTATCTCTATTCCTCCCTACCCAACATTTCTAATCCTCATGACCCTACCCTGGAACATACAAATCCTGTGGCTAAGATTGCGGCAGAAGTCACCCCAAAAAGGCGTTTCATGACAGAGTTACTGTTGTTTTGAATTGGTATATGGAATTCTTTAGTGGAAACTTTAATATAATTTTGTTACTCTATTACTGATGGGTGTTTGAGATCATAAATGTTGCCATAATCCCAGTAATTGTCGGAGTACACACACCCAATTCTGATGGAAGGACAGAGTGCAGGAATTAAGAGCTGGAATAGACACTACAGGCCATTTGACCAAGGGATTGCTTCAGTGTATACTCCACATGCATCCGGTTGTCACAGAATGGAACTCTTTCCAATAGGGTCCAACTCCACTGAATGGGTACATTGATGAATATCTGCAATTTTTAAAGGGTATAAATCTAACCTTAAGTAGCACTTACCTAATTAAACAATTATATTGTTCACATGAATTTAACTAAACATTTAACTCATAGTTTTAAAATCAACACCTTAGGGGTTGAAGAGATGGCACTTAAGAACAGTTAAGAGCACTGACTGCTCTACAAAAAGACCTGGGTTCAATTCCCAGCACCTTCATGGCAGTTCACAATTGTCTGTAACTTCAGTTCCTAGGCACCGACACCCTCACACTGAAAGACCTGGATAAATTCAGATCACCCTAACAGGAATAAATAGAGCCAAAAATCTAAGCAGGGAGGGAAGAATCAGAAATCTAGGATTAGCCGGTTCAGTGTTTCAGGAACTAGCTGAAGATAAAGTTAGATTGTAATCTTGAGAATAATCTTGAGAAACAGGGAGTTTCCCCCTGTGATTTTCATTGGTATTTTTGGGGTACTGTGTTTCAGGAACTAGCTGATTATAATCTTGAATAACCTTGAGGAACAGGGAATTGCCCCCTTGTGATCATCACTGGACCTCCCTACCCCTTTCGGATTACTGGGCTGTGGTTTCTTCCCTTAAAAACCCCTTCTCCCAGCTACTTGGGGTCAAACTCTTCCCCTGCATGGGTTATGAGTCTCAGCCCCAGTGCATTGGTTCCCGTCTTCCCGTCGATTAAACCTCATGTGATTGCAGCAAGGACGGTCTCTCTTGAGTTACTGGGGGCAGGGGGGGTCATGTTATCCCAAGACTTGAGTGAGAGTCTCCCCATATCGGGGGTCTTTCAACACAGATATACATGTAGGCAAAATACCAATGCATATAAAATAAAGATAAATTATTTAAAAAATTAATAAAATCAACACCTTAAAATCAAAGTGTATATAATGTCTCCCTCCAAAATCAGTCCCAACCCTCTAAGGATAATCCTCCCCAATTCATTGTTAGGTAAGAAAAGAAGACCAACCTATTATATTTCTAGAATTAGTAAATCTCTGCATAAAGTGTGAGCTAGTGAAGAGCAGTTCAAACATTCTCTCAGCACTGATGTGGAAAACGCGGTTGATATAAAGTCTTCCTTGAAGATCTTTCTCAGGAATATTTTCTAGAAAAACAAAACACAAACCAGAGGAGAAGAAATTAAGGAAAGACAATTTCAATATTTGAGGGAGGATTGTGTTTTATTTTGGTCTTGATACAAAACAGTTTTTAAATGTGATTATCCTGCTTCAGAATAATAAAAATACTACAAATTGGAAGTATATGTGTGTGTGTATACATATATGTGTATATATATAACATAAGTATATGTACTTGACTAAATAAGACCACCATCTTCAATTATTAAAATCAAAATACACAGAAATACTTAACTAGAATAATATTGAACTCCTTCTATAAGATACCATGCATATGAATGTTTCATATGTGATAAAAGAAATAATAATTATCACAGCCATTTCAAGTCATACCACCAAACACATTCAGTAGATATTAAATAGCCAGTGATTCTATTTGCTGCGTACACAAACACATTGGTCCAGTGATCTCACTTGGTTTACTGCTGGCTGCCCCAGACAGGCATCACTATATTCATAGTGTGTTCTGTGAGGGCTCAAAAATGTGACCTATTTCCATGTAGACCAAAGGTCAGAGAGTTTGAACTTACCTCTACTTCCTTCAAGGTTATTGTGCTTCTACCTCAAACAAAGGTCCCACCTAGACACTGAACAGAGAGTTCTGCTCTCTCAAGGTTATTGTCAACAGCAAGAGGTATTTCTGTTGAGGTTGATGCCCAACAGTATTCTCAGTACTCTACATTAGAATGGGAATAACAATTCCTCCTAAAAAAAAAAAAAAAGTATTCGCCAAAGCTGAATAATGTCCAGTAGAACAGTACTTGGTCTACCTGGGAACTTGATAGTTAGGTATCCGCTGAAAATTACTTCAGCAAATGAAGTAATGTCTGTTCACCTCTTCTGATGTTCCCACAGCCATCTTTCTGTCAGCGTTCCCATGGTAATCTCTATGTCAGTGTTCCCGTGGTCATCTCTATGTTAGTGTTCTCGTGGTCATCTCTATGTCAGCGTTCTCGTGGTCATCTCTACGTCAGTGTTCCCATGGTCATCTCTCTGTCAATGTTCCCGTGGTCATGTCTATGTCAGTGTTCACATGGTCATGTCTATATGAGTGTTCCTGTGGTCATGTCTATGTCAGTGTTCACATGGTCATCTCTGTGTCAGTGTTCCCGTAGTCATCTCT